TACAGAGAACAGTATGCAGGTTCCTTAAAAAACTAAAAACAGAGCTACCATATGATCCAGCAACCCCACTCCTGTGCATATATCTGGAGAAAATCATAATTGAAAAGATACATGTACCCTCAATGTTCACTGCAGCACTATTTACAATAGCCAGGACATGGACGCAATCTAAATGTCCATCAACAGAGGAATGGATAAAGAAGATATGGTACATATATATAATGGAATATTACTCAGCCATAAAAAAGAATGAAATAATGCCATTTGCAGCAACATGGATGGACCTAGAGATTGTCATACTGAGTGAAGTTAAGTCAGACACAGAAAGACAAATATCATATGATATCGCTTATATGCGGAATTTTTTAAAATGGTACAAATGAACCTATTTACAAAACAGAAATAGAGTCACAGATGTAGAAAACAAACTTATGGTTACCAAAGGGAAGGGTGGAGGGATAAACTGAGAGATTGGGATTGACATATACACACCACTATATATAAAATAGATAACTAATGAGAACCTACTGTATAGCACAGGGAACTCTACTCAATACTCTGTAATGACCTATATGGGAAAAGAACCTGAAAAAGAGTAGATTAAAAAAAAAAAAGAGTAGATATATGTATTATAATGTATAACTGATTCACTTTGCTGTATAGCAGAAACTAACACAACATTGTAAATCAGCTATACTCCAATTAAAAAAAAAACTTAATCCAGAAAACCAAAACAAAACAATTCTCAAGCAAAATGGGCAATTCACAACAACTAAAGCAGCTGTTACTGGGAATGGCTATTTAGAAAGTTATGTCTCACCTAAATTGATCTATAAGATTTGTACACTTACTCTATTTCTTTAATTTTGTATCTATGAGATGATGGATGTTTACTAAACTTGCTGTGATAATCATTTCATGATGTATATAAGTCAAATCATTATGCTATACACCTTAAACTTATACAGTGCTGTATGTCAACTGTATCTCAATAACAGTAAAAGAAAAAAAAGATCCATACCCTTACAATAGAGATTACAAGTGGGTAGGCCTAAAAGAGATCACTGACCCCTTCCATGAAGCAATATGATTCTTCATGTTTAAAAGTCAACTACTAAAAGAAAACTTCCAACCTTGCTCGGAGAAAAAGAATGCCACAAAGCATACATATTTTCTCTCAAATCATGTATAATGTAATAAATAAGTAAAGATCTTAGGATTTTTAACATAACCATGAGAGCGCTTCATTGTATTTCAGAATCTTCGAAGGAGGCCTAGATAGATAAGTTAGTTCCCTAGCTAATTAAGGATCCAGTTTCAACAAGTCTCAGGCTTAAGGACCAACTCCAATCCTATGAAACTTCTACTAACCACTTTTCCAAAGGGACACTTTCTCCTCTGACTCTTCCACAGCCCCACTAAAACCAGCAATTCACAATCACGTTGTCTGAAATTTAAATAACTCTCATTTTAATACCAGAACTGAACAGATGCTTTACAGACATTTTCTCTCATCCTACAACAACTCTGCAAAATTGGGTCTAATCCCTATTTTATAGATGTAGAAACTGATGCTTAGAGTGTGTTACCCAAGGTTACACAACTAGTAGGGGACAAAACCAGCATTTAAACCCAGATCTGTTTTACTTCAGAGCCTTTACTTTTACCCTCTATGCAGTACTACCTCTTGCATGAAAGTATAACACTAATAATTACCAGCTGCTGTGTCTTGTGACCCTGGGCAAGTTTCTAAACTTCTCAGTGCCTCATTCTTCTCATCCATGAAATGAGGATAATACATTACAGGTACTGCATTGTGGTGAAGATTATATAAGATAATGTATGTAAAAGTCCTTTATAAACTATAATTGTTTATATTATTACATGTACTAGATTTTATGCTCCTTCAGAACAGGTTCTTATGCCTTACATGCATATTCCCTTCAACACTCAGTAAAGGGTTTAACATGAACTGAACATCTACTAGTCTTTGGAAAAATTTGAGACACCTTTTCCCCCTCTAAGGAGGAAAGTAAATGGCGTCCCATTGCATGAAGCCTGGGATTAAGTATCCGTAATCCAAACCTTAAATTACAACATAGTGACAAACTCAGTGTACCCATCAAACATGAGATTTAAACAGCCTCCATGACATTTAACTGTCTGGTGTTTCCTTGCCAATGTGGCTTTAGTGCCATAACAGTTCAAAAGGGGGAAAATCCCAAATGAAAAATATCAACACATTTTGTAAGAAAACGTGCCCGGAAGGAGGGAGAGCAGAATAAGGCCTGATTTGTTATCCGAGTTAACAGAGACCTCATTGTTTTGTGTACTATATGAATTACAGCCTCCTGATGACAGTAGTAACTATAACACCGTCTAACTCATTACTCACTGTGAAATTTCATTTACTTTAAGAAAAAGACCAGTAACATATTTATTAAATTTCCTTAGGCATACTCACATCCCCCTCAATAAGATGGACATATCTACCAGTATATCCAGGGACGGGAGCCAATATGCCCCAGACTAAGACTGTGCTAGATTTGCTACCAAGTAAGCACAGCGGAAGGGAACCAGCCCCTGCTCTGCTGATATGTGATTCTTGGGAAGCCAATTAACATCTCTGTTAATGATGGATCTGTTTTCCACTGTGTAAAACATGAGTTAATATTATTTTGCCTACCTCACAAGTTTACTGTGAAGGTCAAATGAAATAATAATATATGTGAAATTAATTTACAAATTATATTACCAGAAATAGCTAGATAATCACCTACCACTTGTCCTTTAGTAAATGTCACATACTAGCAAAGCTGACGTACAGATTTCTCTGAGTGTGTTCACCTTATAGTAACAAAGAGAATTTTTTAAAAAATCTACTCGGGGGACTTCCTTGGTGGTCCCAGTGGTTAAGACTCCGCACTTCCACTGCAGGGGGTGCAGATTCGATCCCTGGTCTGGGAACTAAGATCCCACATGCTGTGCAGCGTGGCCAAAAAATTAAATTAAATTAAATTTAAAAAATGAAAAGAACTATAAAATAAGGAAATAAAAATCTACTCGGGAATTCCCTGGGGGTCCAGTGGTTAGGACTCCAGGCTTTCACTGCAGGGAGCCTGCGTTCAATCCCTGGTTGGGGAACTAAGATCCCGCAAGCCTCAGGGCGTGGCCAAAAAAAAAAAACAAAAAACACAGCAAGCATTTAAAAAAATAAATAAATAAAAAATCTACTCGTCTCTGAGAAGGACACAACAAACACTTTCTTATCTACAGAGCTATGGAAGAGGTAACTGGTAAAGCTGATCTTTCCACAATGGATCTATATATTTTTTTAAAAAATATCTTCAAATGGTTCAGCTATGCCTTCCTAAAAGTGTGAAAATGGATTATCAGATCAAGATGTAGCCAGAGACTTCATATGTGACAAGCATCACATACTAGGTCATTTTACCTAGTACCTCAGTCTCTGCAAAATGCCATGTGGCTCAGAGTACTAAAAACTAGTCCTCTCCTTGTCTCCCCACTGGTCATCCCAGCTGCTTCCTCAATACCTCTGGCAAAAAGAAAATAAGGAGAATTGAGAATTCAAAATTATCTTAGATACAGGACATGCCTACCACCCCCTCTTTGGTTTTCCTTGACCTAATTCCTTTCTGAACTAAGCACAGGAACCCACAAAAGACTGATGATGTAGTTTACTGGCTGACCCCCTGACCCCACTAATTCTCTGAACTATACTGCCAACTTGTACCAGAACTTTAACTAAAGAAAAATTGCACAGATATCCAAAAGTAGACTGAAAGCTAGAAAGGCTTCAAGTCACACACACAGTATACACACAAAAGAAAAACTTATCCCACTACCATTTTTGTTGATCATTTATCAACTATGTTGAACTGTATATACATTTTCAGTCATAACAGTAAGAAAAAAGGAAGAAACATAATAATAAGCACCTTTTCTTTTTTTTTTTTTTTGCAGTACGCGGGCCTCTCACTGTTGTGGCCTCTCCCATTGCGGAGCACAGGCTCCGGACATGCAGGCTCAGTGGCCATGGCTCACGGGCCCAGCCGCTCCGCGGCATGTGGGATCTTCCCGGACCGGGTCACAAACCCGCGTCCCCTGCATCAGCAGGCGGACTCTCAACCACTGCACCACCAGGGAAGCCCAATAATAAGCACTTCTGAGGAAATTCTGCCAGGGGCAAATACTTTAGACACTGCTTACTCTTATTTCATTATAAAGAGGCCAAAATTTGCCTTTGCAATATAAACAAACAATATAAAGTGCTTGAGGCCGCTCTTGCCTTCTGAGATGGCCCACACTCTGTGGAATGTGTTTCTCTCTAAATAAATCCATTTCTTACCTATCAAACAAAAATAATAATAATGATGATAATAAAGTGCTTGAGCACTTGAAATCCTAATTTCCTGTAAAACCCTTGCTCTCTCCCATCATTTGGAACTTGCTAACATTTCTCAAATAATCCTCTGAGTAGAATTTCCATTTTCTCAGAAGTGTCCCACAAGTAGACAAAATGTTTCTTTGTGTCAAGGCCGTTGGCTTTTACTATTTACTTAATTTTTGTACCCTTCTGTTGAAAAATAATTTATTGATGTTGACAAAATCATTGCACCATCTTTGTCCCTGATTATGATTTGTAAGCCACTTGAAGGAAAAGTGACCTATCCAATTTTTTGTACTGATGACATTTGTTCCAACATTTTAGTCTTTTTTTTTTAAAGAACTTGTTTTTGTTTGTGTAGGTTTGGCGATTTCTAAAAATACCAAAGCACACCATGAAACATATTATCTGTTTAATGATCTGATGATGTGATGACCTCATCTTAGGACACCTTGAATTTCAAGAGTCCCTGAATTACAAACAAGATAATTATTTAAGGCCAACTTCAACCTGATCTCTATTGCTCTTCTAAGAAGTTTTTGTGTATGAAATAATAATATCCATTACCAGAAAGCCAGAGAAGCATACTTACCAAGTGAACATAAGGCACAAAGTATCCAAAAAGTGCAAGTGGTATTCCAACTGCCCACACTGCATATGCTGTCACCTTGAAGATGGTAAAATTGAAAATTTTTTTTGGAGGACTGAACTTTCTCCTGGAAAAGAGGGAGAATCTGTTGCCTCCTTTGGTTCCACTGTCTTTATCTTTGGCACTGGAAGCAAGAGGTCGGTAAGTAAAGCCAGCCAGAAAGAGAACAAACATGAAGATGCAGAGGACCCTCAGGGTATAAAAGAGGCCCACGCTGTCAGTCAGTACCCTTAAAAGGAAAGGCAGCAAAATTGTGAAGATACTGCTGCCGGCGGTGACAATGCCATTCACCAGTCCAAGGCGCTTCTTGAAATAGTGTCCCAAAATGACCAATGAAGGCTGGTAGGCAAAGGAGCAGCCACAGGCAAATATGATTCCATAGGTCAGGTACAGAGGCTCGATGGAGCTGTGTAAAGACGAAAAAGATGGAAAGCAGCTTTCATTATTTTTATCATGTGCTTGGTAGAATAAAACCTCATTTTAAAACTGGGTTTCAGTTAATCAAAATATTTTCTACAAATAGAAATCAACCAAAAACAGAGGTGAAAAGCTTAATAAGTCAAGAATACAACGCTGAAATATTTTAATTTAATGTGAACGGATAATAAAAAATGCCTTGAGTATGTGAAAAAATGACCGTTAAGGTCACCAGTGATTTGATTCCTCCTTCTCTTTCTACGGATTTCAGGCAAACCATGCAACACTGGGTAAAAACTGTTGTGTCCTCCGCAACTCAGAAATAAAGGACAGTGCCAGGAAGGGCCTCAGTAAAACTGACGATGATTAAAATTAAAAATTAAAAAAAACTAGTCGTGATAAAAGTTTTTAAAAAGTATAATTTAACTATGAAAGCTCACTTTTTTAATGGCGTTTTCGCAGGCACTTACTAAGCAATCTACTCAAAGAAAAGGCTGCATCTGATATTTTCTCCACAAGGTTATGTCACAAACGTTTGCACAGGGGAGCAGTTCTGTTGCATTTTGCTGGCCTAAGGGCTGCAGACCAACCTTCGCCCTGTACTGCACTGTTCTTGGTATTGTGCAAGATAAGGAGAAATCATATTCTGATTGCAGGAATACTAAATGAAGTGTGTTCACTAGTGATCCCAGTTTGTAAGCTTTAGGGCCGTGTATGTCTCAAAAAAATAATAAAGGATTAAGAATTCTTTATTTTAACCAAATAACTTAATTATACAATTCTTATGAAAGTAAATGAACACAGGGAATTCCCTGGCGGCCCAGTGGTTACGACTCCTCGTTCTCACTGCCGAGAGGGCCTGAGTTCGATCTCTGGTCAGGGAGCTAAGATCCCACAAGCCTCACGGTGGGGCAAAAAAAAAAAAGAAAAAGAAAAAGAGAGGGCTGAAGCAAGAGGAGGCTGCAGATGGAAGAAAGTAAAAAAACAAAACAAAACAGTAAAGGAACATACAGCATCACATTCTTTGAAACAATTAAGGTAAGGAGTGAAAGAAAACTAAAGTTTTTTTTCTTTTGAAAAGTTCAATTCAAAAGGCTGTTTATCAGTAGTAAAGGCAAGCTATCTATTAGAAACTAAGATAGATAAAGTTGGTTAATAATTAAATTTTGGACAATAATTCTAGCCTAGCAATATGCTGAGGTAATCACAAGGAATTCTAGAATCTGATAAAATTAAGGCAGGTTGTCAATCCTCTCTCCCTGAGATGCCCTTTCCCCCTCTATTAATCCACAGTTAGAACCATCTTCAAATCAGGCTCAAGAGCCACTCCCAGACTCTCCCAGATGAACCCTACCTCACTCTGATCACCCTTTACTGAAACTCCACTCTTTATTCAATAAACATATATTTAACAGCTACTATGTTCCAGATACTTGGTGAAAAGAATATTTAAAATGTGGTTATGCCCTACTTCTAGTCTGCTTAGTGAAACAAGACATCTACGCCAGATAATAAGAATACAGAACAAAATATAAATAATACTTCACTCATTCTGCATCAGTTTTTCCACATAAGTGTTTTCCAGGTAACTACAACTTACTTCTTAAGGTGCTAATTTATTTTTATTTAACAATTTTAAAGGAAAAATCTAAATCTAAATACATTTCTCTGCCTTCTTCAAAGTGTATATTAAAAATAGTATTGACAGCAAAGTATCATCATGAACACCAGTATCTACACAATTATACCACATTATTATAAAGCAGTCAGTTGGAAAACCAGAGAGCCACTGACATAAATCACAGACATTCTTTTGCACAACATTTAAACAGAGAGTGCTGGGTAAGATTAACTTTGTATCTCTCCCACAGAGTAAAGTACATAAGCTTTGTGCTGGCATTTTCACTGCTGCTGGAACCTTTTTTACTTCTAAATTTTCACCTTAGTAACAGGTGGTTCAAACTATTGAAGTATGACAACTGAATAAGTACAGTGTACATCAGTAAGGTATCAAATATGTGTGGAAAAAGGATTCAAAGAAGAGACACTGATGCAACCTGGGGGTGCTAGAGAAGGCTTTCCTAAAAAGGCAGAACTTGAACTAGAGGAAAAGAGGGTTGGTCCACTGTTTGACACTTGGAATTTACACTACATCTCCCCCTTGCGCCTGTGTATTGTTCTGAAAGTTTGGCAGCTTTTGATCGGTGGGGGGTTAAATAATGAAACTGAATAGAAAACATGACAACATTACATATAGTAAGGTAAAGATGGCTTCAAGACATTTTGTTTTAGTTAGGGGTGGGGATGGGGGAGGGAAAGAGAAAGAAAGAACTAGGTCACAATGTAAAATACATTTCATAATTTTTATTTCCCAGCGGTCAAAAATATTTGAGAAACACTGCTTGCTGTAAGCAGGTTTGTGTATATGTGTTTTGTCTACCAAATTAGGTAACAAGTTACATGGATTTTCTATCTCTTAGTTTCTCTCTCCACCAAAGCCTGAGTGTTAACACTTCAGCAAGCGCTAAGAATACTGACAATGGGTACCTGGAAGCTTCCAGACCAAGGGGGTTTCTGACAAGGTGGTTATCACGCAATGCTGTATTACTGATAAAGAAGAACTAAAAGTAAATGATCTCACAGAGCTATCTAAGCAGAATCTTATTCCAAACAAAACTGGGTTTCTTTAAAAAAGAAACTTTAGAAGAAGAAAAAAAAACGAAACACAAAGGCACTTTAAAGATAGAATATTTATTTTCTAACAAAAAATTAAAATAATTGTTTAGGGACTTCCCTGGCAGCACGGTGGTTGAGACTCCGCCTGCCAATGCAGGGGACACAGGTTCATGCCCTGGTCCAGGAAGATCCCACATGCCGTGGAGCAACTAAGCCTGTGCACCACAACTACTGAGCCCGCGTGCCACAACTACTGAAGCCTGCGCTCTAGAGCCCATGCTCCACAACAAGAGAAGCCACAGCAATGAGAAGCCCACGCACCGCAACAGAGTAGCCCCCGCTCGCCACAACTAGAGACAGCCCGCGCACAGAAACGAAGACCCAACGCAGCCAAAAATAAATAAATAAATAAATAATTGTTTAGAAGCCAAATAAAATGTCTAAGTTAGGTGAAAGAAAGAGGCTCACTCTAGAGTTCAGAAAGGGGTATATATGGGGAGAATGGGGGTAAAATTAGCAAACCAAGGATTCTGTTGATTAAATCCTGAATATTTAAAAATAAACATGGCAGGAATTCCCTGGTGGTCCAGTGGTTAGGATGCCATGCTTCCACTGCAGTGGGCCTGGGTTTGATCTATGGTTGGGGAACTAAGATCCTATATGTTGCGTGGTGCAACCAAAATAAATAAACAAATAAATAAAGATTACAGGAACAAAAAAATAAAATAAAAATAGGGCTTCCCTGGTGGCGCAGTGGTTGAGAGTCCGCCTGCCAATGCAGGGGACACGGGTTCGTGCCCCGGTCCAGGAAGATCCCACATTCCACGGAGCGGCTGGGCCCGTGAGCCATGGCCGCTGAGCCTGCGCGTCCGGAGCCTGTGCTCCGCAGTGGGAGAGGCCTCAACAGTGAGAGGCCCGTGTACTGCAAAAAAAAAAAAAAAAAAAACAGGGTAGGGGCTTCCCTGTTGGCACAGTGGTTAAGAATCCACCTGCCAATGCAAGGAAAAACAGGTTCGAGCCCTGGTCCAGGAAGATCCCACATGCCAAGGAGCAACTAAGCCCATGTGCCACAACTACTGAGCCTGCGCTCTAGAGCCCGTGAGCCATAACTACTGAGCCCGTGTGTCACAACTATTGAAGCCCACGTACCTAGAGCCCACGCTCCGCGACAAGAGAAGCCACTGCAATGAGAAGCCCACGCACCGCAATGAGGAGTAGCCCCCACTCGCCAAAACTAGAGAAAGCCCACAAGCAACAACGAAAACCCAAGCAGCCAAAAATAAAATAAATAAAAAAAAAACAAAGATGGCAAGCAACATAAGTTTGATTTTTTTTTTCTAATAACCACAATAATGCTTTTCAACTAGAGCACGAAGATAGCTAGGGAAGAGAAAGGCACAGGATGAAAATAAACTACTAAAGTAGAGAAAGGATGAAAATCATCTCAAGGTTTTTCTTGTTAATCACCTCCTGTTAGCCAGACCTACCTATTAAACCAGTGTTTCACCAACTGGGGATTATTCTGACAATGAAAGGGTATTTACAGGTAGAACTGGAGCTGGAGGGAGAGGTGCTTCTATGGTAATGTGCCCACCAGCTCTTTGCAGTTAGTTCCTCTGCAGTGCACAACAGCTTTTAATAGACACAGGGAAAAGAGTGTTGATAGGAAGTTTTATTTTAAGCTGCATTTGACCACTTCATTTTGTCGTGATCTTTTTAAATTTCAGCATTGTTCTTTTTTTAAAAAGAGTCCCAGGCGGGATAAACCCAAGGAGAAACACGCCAAGACACATAGTAATCAAGCTGACAAAAATTAAAGACAAAGAAAAATTATTGAAAGCAACAAGGGAAAAACGACAAATAACATACAAGGGAACTCCCAGAAGGTTAACAGCTGATTTCTCAGCGGAAACTCTACAAGCCAGAAAGTAGTGGCATGATATATTTAAAGTGATGATGAAAGGGAAGAACCTACTACCAAGAGTACTCTACCCAGAAAGGATGTCATTCAGATTCGATGGAGAAATCAAAAGCTTTACAGACAAGCAAAAGCTAAGAAAATTCAGCACCACCAAACCAGCTCTACAACAAATGCTAGGGGAACTTCTCTAAGTGGGAAAAACAAGAGAAGAAAAGGGCCTACAAAAACAAACCCATAACAATTAAGAAAATGGTAATATGGGCTTCCCTGGTGGCACAGTGGTTGAGAGTCCGCCTGCCGATGCAGGGGACACGGGTTCATACCCCGGTCTGGGAGGATCCCACATGCCGCGGAGCAGCTAGGCCCGTAAGCCATGGCAGCTGAGCCTGCGCATCCAGAGGCTGCGCGTCCAGAGCCTGTGCGTCCGGAGCCTGTGCTCCGCAACGGGAGAGGCCACAGTAGTGAGAGGCCCGCGTACCGCAAAAAAAACAAAAACAAACAAAAGAAAATGGTAATAGGAACATACATATCAATAATTACCTTAAATGTGAATGGATTAAATGCTCCAACCAAACGACACAAGCTCACTGAATGGATACAAAAACAAGACCCATATATATGCTGTCTACAAGAGACCCACTTCAGACCTAGGGACATATTCAGACTGAAAGTGAGCGGATAGAAAAAGATATTCAGTGCAAACGGAAATCAAAAGAAAGCTGCAGTAGCAATACTCATATCAGACAAAATAGACTTTAAAATAAAGAATGTTACAAGAGACAAGGAAGGACACTACATAATGGTCAAGGGATCTATCCAAGAAGAAGATATAACAATTGTAAATATTTATGCACCCAAAATAGGAGCACCGCAATACATAAGGCAACTGCTAACAGATGTAAAAGAGGAAATCGACAGTAACACAAAATAGTTGGGGACTTTAACACCTCACTTACACCAATGGACAGATCATCCAAAATGAAAATAAATAAGGAAACAGAAGCTTTAAATGACACAACAGACCAGATAGATTTAACTGATATTTATAGGACATTCCATCCAAAAACAGCAGGTTACACTTTCTTCTCAAGTGTGCACAGAACATTCTCCAGGATAGATCACATCTTGGGTCACAAATCAAGCCTCAGTAAATTTAAGAAAACTGAAATCATATCAAGCATCTTTTCTGACCACAACACTATGAGATTAGAAATAAATTACAGGGAAAAAAATGTAAAAACCACAAACACATGGAGGTTAAACAATACGTTACTAAATAACCAAGAGATCACAAAGAAATCAAAGAGGAAATCAAAAAGTACCTAGAGACAAATGACAGTGAAAACACGATGATCCAAAACCTATGGGATGCAGCAAAAGCAGTTCTAAGAGGGAAGTTTATAGCAATACAAGCCTAACTCAAGAAACAAGAAAAACCTCAAATAAACAATCTAACCTTATACGTAAAAGAACCAGAGAAAGAGCAAACAAAACCCAAAGTTAGTAGAAGGAAAGAAATCATAAAGATCAGAGCAGAAATAAATGAAATAGAAACAAAGAAAACAACAGCAAAGATCAATAAAACAAAAAGCTGGTTCTTTGAGAAGATAAACAAAACTGATGAACCTTTAGCCAGACTCATCAAGAAAAAGAGGGAGAGGACTCAAATCAATAAAATTAGAAATGAAATAGAAGTTACCACAGACACTGCAGAAATACAAAGCATCCTAAGAGACCGCTACAAGCAACATCTATGCCAATAAAATGGACAACCTGGAAGAAATGGACAAATTCTTAGAAAGGTTAAAACTTCCAAGACTGAACCAGGAAGAAACAGAAGATATGAACAGACCACTCACAAGTAAGGAAATTGAAACTGTGATTAAAAATCTTCCAACAGGGCTTCCCTGGTGGCACAGTGGTTGACAGTCCACCTGCAGATGCAGGGGACACGGGTTCGTGCCCCGGTCCAGGAAGATCCCACATCCCACGGAGCGGCTGGGCCCGTGAGCCATGGCCACTGAGTCTGCGCATCCGGAGCCTGTGCTCCGCAACAGGAGAGGCCACAACAGTGAGAGGCCCACATACCGCAAAAGAAAAAAAAAAAATCTTCCAACAAACAAAAGTGCAGGACCAGATGGCTCCACCAGTGAATTCTATCAAACATTTAGAGAAGAGCTAACACCTATCCTTCTCAAACTCTTCCAAAATATTGCAGAGGAAGGAACACTTCCAAACTCATTCTATGACGCCACCATCACCCTGATACCAAAACCAGACAGAGATACTACAAAAAAAGAAAATTACAGACTAATATCACTAATGAATACAGACGCGACAATCCTCAACAAAATCGTAGCAAACAGAATCCAACAACACATTAAAAGGATCATACACCAGGATCAAGTGGGATTTATCCCAGGGATACAAGGATTCTGCAATATACACAAATCAATGTGATACACCATATTATCAAACTGAAGAATAAAAACCATATGATCATCTCAATAGATGCAGAAAAAGCTTTTTACATAATTCAACAGCCATTTATGATAAAAACTCTCCAGAAAGTGGGTACACAGGGAAACTACCTCAACATAATAAAGGCCATATATGATAAACCCATAGCAAACATCGTTCTCAATGATGAAAAACTGAAAGCATTTTCTCTAAGATCAGGAACAAGACAAGGATGTCCAGTCTCGCCCCTATTATTCAACATAGTTTTGGAAGTCCTAGCCATGGCAATCAGAGAAGAAAAAGAAATAAAAGGAATACAAATTGGAAAAGAAGAAGTAAAACAGTCACTGTTTACAGATGACATGATACTATACGTAGAGAATCCTAAATATGCCACCAGAAAACGACTAGAGCTAATCAATGAATCTGGTAGAATAGCAGGATACAAAATTAATGCATAGAAATCTCTTGCATTCCTATACACTAATGATGAAAAATCTGAAAGAGAAATTAAGGAAACACTCCCATTTACCACTGCAACAAAAAGAATAAAATACCTAGGAATAAACCTACCTAAGGAGGTAAAAGACCTGTACTCAGAAAACTATAAGACACTGATGAAAGAAATTAAAGATGATACAAACAGATGAAGAGATATACCATGTTCTTAGACTGGAGGAATCAATATTGTGAAAATGACTATACTACCCAAAGAAATCTACAGATTCAGTGCAATCCCTATCAAATTACCAATGGCATTTTTTTTTTACAGAACTAGAATAAAAAATCTTAAAATTTGTATGGAGACCCCATACAAATAGCCAGAGCAGCCTGAGGGAAAAAAATGGAGCTGGAGGAAACAGACTCCCTGACTTCAGACTATACTACAAAGCTACAGTAATCAAGACAATATGGTACTGGCACAAAAACAGAACTATAGATCAATGGAACAGGATAGAAAGCCCAGAGATAAACCCACGCACCTTTGGTCAACTAATCTATGACAAAGGAGGCACAGATATACAATGGAGAAAAGACAGCTTCTTCAATAAGTGGTGCTGGGAAAACTGGACAACTATATGTAAAAGAATGAAATTAGAACACTCCCTGACACCATACACAAAAATAAAGTCAAAACGATTAAAGACCTAAATGTAAGATCAGACACTATAAAACTCTTAGAGGAAAACATAGGAAGAACACTCTTTGACATAAATCACAGCAAGATCTTTTTTGATCTACCTCCTAGAGTAATGGAAATAAAAATAAACAAATGGGACCTAATGAAACTTCAAAGCTTTTGCAAGGCAAAGGAAACTACAAACAAGACGAAAAGACAACCCTCAGAATGAGAGAAAATATTTGCAAGTGAATCAACGGACAAAGGATTAATCTCTAAAAAGATTTATAAATATATAAATCTCTAAAATATATAAACAACTCATGTAGCTCAATATTTAAAAAACAAACAACCCAATCAAAAAATGGGCAGAAGAAAAAAAAATGGGCAGAAGATCTAAACAGACATTTCTCCAAAGGAGACATACAGATGGCCAAGAAGCACATGGAAAGCTACTCAACATCACTAATTATTAGAGAAATGCAAATCAAAACCACAATGAGGTATCATCTCACACCAATTAGAATGGGCATCATCAGAAAATCTACCAACAACAAATGCTGGAGAGGGTGTGGAGAAAAGGGAACCCTCTTGCACTGTTGGTGGGAATGTAAATTGATCCAGCCACTATGGAGGTTCCTTAAAAAACTACATATAGAACTACCATATGACCCAGCAATCCCACTACTGGGCATCTACCCAGAGAAAACCATAATTCAAAAAGACACATGCACCCCAATGTTCATTGCAGCACTATTTACAATAGCCAGGTCATGGAAGCAACCTAAATGCCCATCGACAGATGAATGGATAAAGAAGATGTGGTACATTTATACAATGGAATATTACTCAACCATAAAAAGGAACGAAATTGGGTCATGTGTAGAGACGTGGATGGATCTAGAGGCTGTCATACAGAGTGAAGTAAGTGAGAAAGAGAAAAACAAATATCGTATATTAACGCATATATGTGGAACCTAGAAAAATGGTACAGATGAACCGGTGTGCAGGGCAGAGACGCAGATGTAGAGACCAAACGTATGGACACCAGAGGGGAGAGTGGCGGGGGGGCAGGGTGGTAGTGTGATGAATTGGGAGATTGGGATTGACATGTATACACTAATAAGTATACAATGGGTAACTAATAAGAACCTGCTGTATAAAAAAATAAATAAAATTTTAAAAATAAATAAATAAAATTAAAAAAAGAATGCAGGCAGGAATTCTCTACCTGGGTTGAAATGAATAGCAAAGTCTGGATTTCATTAATGAAAATATTTCACATCAAGCCTATGAACAACCACTTCAAAATACCACTTCTTGTACCCTTTGGGGCTCAGACTGAGCTGACTTTAAACTAAGCCCATTGTTTTAGACAACTTACTGTTATGAGTTAATATTCTTCTGTGAATGGAAAAAACAAAAGGCGAAACATTTTTTCTTGGCTCCAGAGAACATATGTATCCTGACTGACATCTAACTCTGAGGCACTGCAAGCAAAAGCATTCAAATTCACAAGCTCTGATTTGCTGCTGTAGACAACAATGCGTTAAGTTACGCTGCTTAGTTTAAGTACTGAAAAGGAGGATTTTTCCTTGTAAACAGCAAAGTTTCTGAAAGGAAATCTTTAAGGTAGCTAACAGTTTTTGAAAAGCGACATGAAGAAGCCAAGTCCTTACCTTACAAAAGAACTTGATACGAGTCCAACAAATCCAACAGCAGCACCCACAACAGCTGTTCTCCGGCAACCAAACACGTCTGTGAAGACGCTGACAATTGGGCAGCAGAAGAAAATCATCCCCATGGAGAGAGAACTTACCCATGCTGTAAAAGAGGAAACAAAGGGACATTATGACATGGTAAATTCTATTTGTCCTTACCTAATAAGATATAATACATATTCAGAAAAGTATTAATGCAGAAAAGATATTACCCAGATTGATGAATGGAGGGAAGTTGGAATAAGTAACAAATCTGAATCACAGATGAAAGGACTGACCAATACAAATTATAATTAGCAAAGCAATTATTTGTGTTTAATGGAACTCTTGAAAAGTTTGTATTCTTAAATAAATCAAACATTCTCCTGTGACCTAATCACTACTAATCTCTATCCTGATATCTATGGTTAATTTTAAGCAACTTCTAATCTATGGAAAGAAATTTATTTCAAAAAATTGAGATACGTTTAGGAACGTATGCCTAGGTGATCAAACTGCAAAGAAATGATGACCACCGAACTCAATACAGTGGTGAAACTCAGGGGAGAAAAAGGAATTATAACCATCTGGACCCAGTAGATAAGAACTGAACATTTGCCTAGAGTCTGGGCTTTGTGCTTTTGTTACAGGAATCAAGTAGTACACAGGTAGGTTGTTTGTTGACCTGGGTAACAGTTACTGTGTATTCACTTTACTTATAAAACCATACATACATTTTATCTTCTTTTCTGAAAGTATGCTATCTTTCACAATAGAAAAGATTTAAGAATCAGGACATAATTTCCTATTCTGATCTGTAAAGACCAAAACAAAAGGAAAGCCAAAAAGAGAAACATACTGAGTACAAATGATCATAAATTTGTGCCCAAGAAATGAGTGATCTTATAGGATATCAAGTCTGTAAATTCTTAAAAAGTATATAAACTAGTGGGGCCTAAGTGAACATGAGCTATAAAACAAACAGACCTGGGTCCAAATCTCCCAGCTCTGTAACTACAATATATCCTTCAGCAGGTCACTTCCTCTGAGTCTGTTTTCTCATCTGGAAAGGGAATTGAACACAGACTTTTCCAGAATTATTAAGGATTAGAGAAAATGTATCTAAACCTCTGCATCTAGCACAGGAACAATTAATAATTCAGAGTTTTAACAACAACAAATTGTCTTATAAAATGAAACAGATGATCTCCAATGCTCCATCCAGCTCTGACAGTCTACTAGTATATTACTCTATTTCCTCAGCAAAGGAATTAAGTGCAGATCCTGTGCTAATGACCATTTCTTAATAACGTGGTCCAAATGGATCTTCATCAGACTAACAATTTCATTTAATTCTTTGCCTTCTTACCTTTTAAATTATTTTTTTAATTATGTATATTTTAATCAGCCATAATTCTCTTTTCTTTCTTCCCTTACCAGAAAGGAGACTATGATCTTAAAACAAAACACAATGGGATGCAAATAGAGATTATCATACTAAGTGAAGTCAGAAAGAGAAAGACAAATGCCATATGATATCACTTATATGTGGAATCTAAAATATGGCACAAATGAACCTATCTACAAAACAGAAACAGACTCATAGACATAGAAAACAGACTTGTGGTTGCCAAGGAGGAGGGAAGATGGAGAGGGATTGACTGGGAGTTTGGGGTTGGTAGACGCATTTAGAATGGATAAACAACAAGGTCCTAATGTATAGCACAGGGAACTATATTCAATATCCTGTGATAAACCATAATGGAAAAGAATATTAAAAAAAGAAAGTCTATATGTGTATAACTGAGTCACATTGCTGTACAGCAGAGATTGGTACAACAATGTAAATCAACTACACTTCAATAAAACACACACACACACACACAATGAAGAGACTGTACAAACAATGCAGTCTTGGCTTAGGTGTTGGTGGGGGAATTCAGAAGTGGACAGCAGAGAGGCGATTGGCCAGATGAACTAGCACAACCTCAACCCCAGATGTGCAGAGCTGTTTAGTATGGGCTTGCTCAAGAAGAAGTGCAAATTTTTTAGTCTATGTTATATAAAAATGTCACTGATTTATAATAATTTAATCTTATTCAAAAAAAGTTTAGTCATCTATCCTGTTTATGAAACTACCTAAACAACCTAGGCAGACTAGAAGAATAGCATCCTAACCTTTATTTTTGGATAAAGGTGCTTTTACAATTAAGTGAAACACCAGCACTAAATAGGAGCCCACTTTAAGAAATCCAAGAGCGGAATTCCCTGGAGGTCCAGTGGTTAGGAGGACACCGCATTTCCACTGCAGGGGGCACAGGTTCGATCCCAGGTCAGGAAACTACGATCCCGCATTCCGTGTCGTCCGGCCAAAAAAAAAGAAATCTAAGAACATAACAGCAGCATTGCATGTAATGCTCACATAAGTCAAGGCACTTTTCAAGAATAAAAACAACACTTAATGCATTACCATAGATTTCAGACTACTGCAATGCCAAACGTGAAAATTTTTACAGAATTTTTATGTCCACTGAACATGCACTAACTGCAGGATATAATCAAATATAACTTTATTTTTGTCTCGGCTATCCTCTTAAAATGTATGCAGGGATAAAATGTTCCCCTGGCACTGGATGACCACTCAGCAGCCCCACACGTTTCTTCTAGCCAATGCTAAGTAACAAAGTCCTACAGTCACTTTATGTTACAAACCTATCTTCACTAGGTAATCAAATCTCTTTTCCCACCCCCAGCTGGGAAAAGAGTAAGCCCAGCTATGTCTCTTTTCCACGACCCTTCTCCCCTTCCCTAGCTGCTGTTGCCTCCAAAGTGGATATGAGAGAGAGGAGTGCTGGGAGATGGAAGGCAACGAGATTCCAACTTAAGAGGTTCTGCCAAAAGGCCTGTCTGGTGATGTCTGAAGTGGACTCTTTTCCTCAGATGCACTTCTGTGGGTTCTTCAGAGTCTCACCTCAGAGTTTCTTCTGGCTATAGCTCCACCGACGTGGACAGTTCAGTGGATAGTTCATTCTCCTCCTGGCTTTTTGGCTGTCACTTAAAAGACTCACTGTTGGAGCCTCATTGCCCTTCTAGGCAGTTTATTTGGGCAGGAATTAAAACAGCTCCAGGCCGCCTCTCTCCTCCACTAGGCCTGCCTCTGCTCTGCAGGAAGTATTCATATTTCCTTTGCCCTGACAAACACTGGAGTGTAGGCAAATTCCAACACAGCCTACCTCTTGCTGTGGGAGCAGTCAGCCAGCTACAGTTCTCTCCTTGACAGATTTCTCAGGGGATCCAGACCTCAGTCCTCTGTACACCTTAACTGAAGAGAATTCTTTAAATCTCTAAGTGGTCCCTCTAAAGCTCCTCTCACTAGATATCAAGTGAGTCTGTACCCCCACTTCTCCCATGGTGTGTGTGTGTGGGGGGGAAGCAACAGCATAATTTTTAAAAGGATCCTCACAAAATGTTCTTCCATGACCCATAAGTATCCTTATGTGTTTTAGAGCCTCTAACTGGTTCTTGAACATGAAATACCCCACTTCCAAATTTCACACTCTTGTACCTTAATGCCTCTGCTAAAGTTCCAACATCTTTTTTTTCTTTTTTTAATTTTTGGCCACACCACATGGCATGCAGGATCTTAGTTCCCCGACCAGTGACGGAACCCGTGCCCCTGCAGTGGAAGTGGGGAGTCTTAACCACTGGACCGCCAGGGAAGTCCCCCAACATCATTTTTTTTTTTAAATAAATTTATTTATTTTTGGCTGTGCTGGGCCTTCGTTTCTGTGCGAGGGCTTTCTCTAGTTGCGGCAAGCAGGGGCTACTCTTCATTGTGGTGTGTGGGCCTTTCACTGTCGTAGCCTCTCTTGTTGCAGGTCACAGGCTCCAGACGCGCAGGCTCAGTAGTTGTGGCTCACGGGCCTAGTTGCTCCGCGACATGTGGGATCTTCCCAGACCAGGGCTCGAACCCGTGTCCCCTGCATTGGCAGGCAGATTCTCAACCACTGCGCCACCAGGGAAGCCCCTCCCCAACATCTTATGTTACAATAAAAATTAGGAACAGATGAGGTTAGGTCTATCTTCTGAGCAAATTCAAGAAGAAATTAATTCTTGTGAAGATTAAGCGAGGCTCTTTTTCTTTTTTTTTAATTTTTGGCCTCACTGCACTGCATGCGGGAATCTTAACTTCCCGAACCAGGGACTGAACCCATGCCCCCTGCAGTGGAAGCAGGTAGTCCTAACCACTAAATCACCAGGAAATTCAAGAAATTCATTTTTTTTAAAATTTTTATTGGAGTATAGTTGATTTACAATGTTGTGTTAGTTTCACGTGTACTGCAAAATGAAGCAGTTACACATATACATATATCCACTCTTTTTTTCTAATATTCTTTTCCCATATAGGCCATTACAGAGAGTACTGAGTAGAGTTCACTGCTCTATACAGCAGGTTCTTATCAGTTATCTATTTTATATATAGTAGTGTGTGTATGTCAATCTCAATCTTCCAATTTATCCTTTCCCCTCTTATCCCCTGGTAACCATAAGTTTGTTTTCCACACCTGTGACTACTTCTGCTTTGTAAATAAGTTCATTTGTACCCTTTTTTTTTTTTTTAAGATTCCACATATAAGCAGTATCATATGATATTTGTCTTTCTGTGTCTGACTTACTTCACTCAGTATGACAATCTCTAGGTCCATCCATGTTGCTGCAAATGGCATTATGTTGTTCTTTTTTATGACTAATATTCCACTGTATATATGTACCACATCTTCTTTATCCATTCCTCTGTTGATGGACATTTAGGTTGTTTCCATGTCCTGGCTATGGTAAATAGTGCTGCAGTGAACATTGCGGGTACATGTATCTTCTCAAATTATGATTTTCTCTGAATATATGCCCAGGAGTGAAATTGCTGGGTCATATGGTAGCTCTATTTTTGGTTTTTTAAGGAACCTCCATACTGTTCTCCACAGTGGCTACCAATTTATATCCCCACCAACAGTGTAGGAGAGTTCCTTTTTCTCCACACCCTCTCCAGCATTTATTGTTTGTAGGGTCTTTTAAAAATATTTATTTATTTATTTGGTTGTGCCAGGTCTTAGCTGCGGCAGGTGGGCTCCTTAGCTGTAGTGAGTGTGTGGGATCTAGTTCCCTGACCAGCAATTGAACGAGGGCCCCCTGCATTGGGAGTGCGGAGTCTTATCCACTGCGCCACCAGGGAAGTCCCCATTTGTAGATTTTTTTATGATGCCCATTCTGACCAGTGTGAGGTGATACCTCATTGTAGTTTTGATTTGCGTTTCTCTAATAATCAGTGATGTTGAACATCATTTCATGTGCTTTTTGGCCATCTATATGTCTTCTTTGGAGAAATGTCTATTTAGATCTTCCACCCATTTTTTGATTGGGTTGTTTTCTTGATATTGAGCTGCATGAGCTGTTTGTATATTTTGGAGATTAATCCCTTGTTGGTTGCTTCATTTGCAAATATTTTCTCCCATTCTGAGGGTTGTCTTTTTCTTTTGTTTATGGTTTCCTTTCCTATGCAAACACTTTTAAGTTTAATTAGATCCCATTTGTTTACTTTTGTTTTTATTTTCATTACTCTAGGAGGTGGGTCAAAAAAGATCTTGCTGCGATTTATGTCAAAGAGTGTTCTGCCTATGTTTTCACCTAAGAGTTTTATAGTGTCCGGCCTTACACTTAGGTTTTTAATCCATTTTGAACTTATTTTTGTGTATGGTGTTAGGGAGTGTTCTAATTTCATTATTTTACATGTAGCTGTCCAGTTTCCCCAGCACCACTTATTGAAGAGGCTGTCTTTTCTCCACTGTATATTCTTGACTCCTTCATCATCGATTAGGTGACCAAGAAATTAATTCTTGAATGAATATATTACTCGGCACTGTAAACTCATAAAATTTCTCGTTTTTGTAAAATTTTAACATGGCATGACAAAGAATCCAAGCTCTTATCGGTTTTATGCTATACACCATAAAAATGAAAGAGACTGTTGTTCTCTTTTACCCCTTCCAAGTCTGACTATGATTATTATTAATAACAGAAACTGAGAAACTGAAGACATAGTCACTATACCCACCATGGTAAAATTTTTGTTTAAAAAAATGCAAACTAGCCCTAATCCCTCTATGTAATTCAACCAAACACCCACACAGGGTTTCCTAATGTTGCTGAAAAGCAAATATTTTTCAATGGAAGAGGTACTATTTAAAATATGGAATAACAACTTTTCCGAGTAAAAGTGCCTATTATGTTCTAGGCACTATCCTAGGCTGCTGAGAATATAAAAACAACTAAAAGATTTCTCTACCTTCCAATAATTTCCATCTAGTAACATATATGCAAATAGAGGTCCAACCAGAACACCATATAGAATGTGCTAATCACCTTAAAAAACACATGTCAAAAAATATGTAATGAAGAAGGGCTTAAAGATCTCCTGAAATTTTACCAGCTTGGAATCCCTAATCAGCAAACATTGTTACAGACTGTTGTACCTTCTTCACATTTGCAATACTGTTTCTCAAATGTATGTTGGTGATAAAATACGGATACATTTTAAAATGCTGACGACTTCATAGTACACCTCTTTCTCATTAGGTATTCCTCAATGAATTGTACTTTATATATTTACTGCTGTTGGAGGAGCAGCGTACACATGTATCTAATGAATGGATTTTGAGGTTGTTGGCACTCCTCTATGATTCAAGTTAGCTATAATACAAAAGCCCATTTCCCTTAAAAAAAAAAAAAAAAGAAGAAGAAGAAAGAAAGGCTTTAGAATGTGCTTGTATACTCTTATTTGAATGTATGTGTGTTTGATGTTATAGAGAGAAACATCCAAAAAATAGCCAGGTTGGGAAATCTTTTTTAAAACATAACAATCAGCTTTCCAATTTCCCTATCCAGACCCTCTTTGTTTCCAACTCCATACTAAGAACAAATCCTTAGCTCTCAGTGCATGGCCAAAGGAGAATGCAAATCACTCGGAGAAAGTGGGTAGGTTTAATATTTTAAAAGATTTTCACTTGCAGGTGTTATAATTATGCAGATGTAAATGACTGCAAGGAGAAAGTGTTTACAATTGAAAACACCCACAGGGAAGATTTACTATAGTTATTTTAAGGTTGATAAATATTTTTTTGCCCTGTTTTGAGAGCTCCAACCCCCATTTCCACTTGATCTTGGCCTCTTTCAAGACAGCTCTGCTCTATAATATCTGAACCTTGGTCTAACAGCCTCAAATAAAATGAAACAATATATTAAAACTGAGATTAAAATGCAAAATAGTATTTAACAAAGTCCCAATGACTTTTGGAGCATGGTGCTGTCTGGCAACTACACAATTTAGGAATGAGTAAATTGTACTTGATTTGACCATTTTATTGCCACCCTAAAGGTTATTTGGTAGTTATATGTCACTTAGGAGTGGTTTTTAAATTATTTGCTATCAACTTCTGTTAATGGCATCAGAGTGAAGTGGTCAAGTAAATCCTCTTGCAGATAATAACTGTGTGTAGCGGTGGGGGGGGACTTATATAAACACACTGGAAAATGTCTAAAAACAGAAGTTGGAGGAGAGTTTATACTTGAGAAGCTGAAACCGGAAGAAATAAGAATTACAAGTTTGTGGGCTTTCCTGAGGATCAACAAACTATGCAGGTGCTGGGTAGACTAGTAAGGGGTCAAACTAAAGAAAAGCAAGAGATGGAGAAAAAGAAAAGAAGCAACAGTTGGAAACTGTATGAACTGAACAGAGATAGCAGCTGCTACCTAGCACAGAGAGACAGACTTTGCAGTCTGAGTCCAGGCAAACTAACTGCCTCCTAAGAACAAAAACTCAATAACCCTTGGAAGAACACAAGGGAATCAGAGTTGCTTTAAATATTATCTACAATGTCCAAGTATTGAACCTAAAATTACTAGACATGAAAAGAAACAGGTAATCAATATTAATTGACTCTGAATGCACTAAGATGTTGGATTCAGAAAACAAAGACTACAAAATGTCTATTACAATTATGTTAGAAGTATTAAAGGATAATATTTTCAAAGAAGTAGGTTAAAATATGGTCTTATTGAGGGAACAGATAGTGAATCTCAACAGTGAAATGTAAACTAGAAAAAAATGGAAATTCTAGGGGTGAGAAGTACAACAGCTGAAAAAAATGCATTTCAATAGGATCACTAGCAACTTGGAGATAAAATTTAAGAATGAATCTGGGAATTTGAAGACAAAAATTACCCAATCCCAGAAAAGAGAGAAAAATAATATTGAAAAAGAATGAACAACGTCTTAGAGATCTGTAGGACAAAAATCAAGAGGCCCAGGGACTTCCCTGGTGGTCCAGTGGTAAAGAATCCACCTTAAAATGCAGGGGACGCAGGTTTGACCCCTGGTCAGGGAACTAAGATCTCACATGCCACAGGGCAGCTCCGCATGCCACAACTACTGAGCTCACACACCTCAACTAGAGCCCGTGTGCCACACACTACAGAGCCCATGCACCCTGGAGCCTGCACGTCACACTAGAGAAGAGAAAACCCACATGCCACAACTAGAGAGAAGCCCACACACCACAAGGAATAGCCCATGTGCCACAATGACAGATCCTGCATGCCTCCACGAAGATCCCACGTGCCAAAACTAAGACCTGACGCAGCCAAAACTAAGTAAAACAAATAAATAAATCGTTAAAAAAAAAAAATCAAGAGGCCCAACATAAATATAACTGAAGTCTTAGAAAAGAGAGAAAGAAAAGAGCAGAAGCGCTTCCCTGGTGGCACAGTGGTTAAGAATCCGCCTGCCAATGCAGGGGTCACAGGTTCGAGCCCTGGTCCAGGAATATCCCACATGCTGCAGAGCAACTAAGCCCGTGTGCCACAACTACTGAGCCTGTGCTCTAGAGCCCACGAGCCACAACTACTGAAGCCTGCGCGCCTAGAGCCCATGCTCTGCAACAAGAGAAGCCACCGTAATGAGAAGCCCGCACACCACAATGAAGAGTAGCCCCCGCTCACTGCAACTAGAGAAAGCCACACACAGCAACAAAGACAAGGAAGGAAGGGAGGGAGGAAGGGAGGGAGGGAGAAGGGAAGAAGGAAGGGAGGGAGGAAGGGAGGAAGGAAGGAAGGAAGGAAAGAAAAGAAAAGAAAAAAGAGCAGAAAAAAATATATGAAGGGCTTCCCCGGTGGCGCAGTGGTTGAGAGTCCGCCTGCCGATGCAGGGGACACGGGTTCATGCCCCGGTCCAGGAAGATCCCACATGCCGCGGAGCGGCTGGGCCCGTGAGCCATGGCCGCTGAGCCTGCGCGTCCAGAGCCTGTGCTCCGCAACGGGAAAGGCCACAACAGTGAGAGGCCCGCGTACTGCAAAAAAAAAAAATATATATATATATATATGAAGAAATAATGCCCCCCACCCCAAAATCACAAATTTTGTGAAAACCATTAACTTACAAAAACAAAACAAAAAACATTAACTTACAAACCTAAGAAGCTCAGAGAAATGCCAGCAGTATAAACTCTAAGCAAACCATTCCTAAGCACATCATGCTTAATCTTCTGAATGCCAAAGATAAAAAGACAATTCTGAAAGCATCCAGAGAAAAACGACATACCGAGGGAGAACAATGATACCATTATCAGTTGGCTTCTCATAAGAACTAATGGAGGA